GAATCAAACAATCCAACAAATAGGCCTCAACTTAGAAATAGCCCAAGAGAGAAGATTAACATGGAAGAGGGTTGATAGCAAAGCAGTGACTGAATTCATGATTTCACCATGTATGGAAGCCTTAGCGCATATATGTGCAAACAGTACGGGTGAACAAGAGCCTATAGTTTGTTTTGCGGAAATATGCCATAAATTGCAGCATTTTTCCATGACTACCAAGCCAATGGGCCAGTCTGATTCTAGTAACTCAACATGGTTTGACAATGACTGTAAGGAAAAGGAAAAACAGCTTAGGAAATCACTTAGGAGATACTTAAGCAGCCCAAACATGGAACTACAGAAGGAGTATATTACCATAAGGCAGAAATATAAGCAGCTACTGAAGAGAAAAAAGGCCTCCTATACCAACAACTTATGGGCTGGTCTAGAACAGGCAGCAAAGCTGGCCTCACCTACACTATTCTGGTTGGAGGTCTTAAAAATTATTAGAGATAGAAAACTAATAAGTGACCCAAACATTAGTGCAGAAAGATGGGAGAAGCATTTGGCCACGCCAGCAGCAGTGGATAGCTCCGATGAGCTTATATCCTCTCCGGAGCTTGATACAGGAATATGAAGCTCTACCGCAGTGGGAAGAAGTGTCAATCATGGAGGTGAGGAGTTTAATCTCCTCCCTGAAGACAAACAAAGCTCCAGGACAGGATGCGCTCCCAGCTTCGTTATTTAAAGATAACATAGCCTGGTGAGCGCCCGTCCTGGTGGGTCTCTTTACTTTTATCAATAGAACAGGGCAAATTCCTGCTAGTTGGCGTTCATCAATAATTATCCCCTTACATAAAAAAGGCTCTAGAGATAACCCAGATAATTTTCGATTAATTAGTCTAATCGATATTTCAGCAAAAATTTATGCTAAGCACTTGCTTCATAAATTAGAGGATTGGATAATGAGAAATAACATTTTAGCTGAAGAGCAGTCAGGTTTCAGGAGCGGAAGATCTACTATGGATAATTGTTTTGTGCTGGACCATCTAATAACAAAGTTTAAGTCTTGGAAAAAACCTCTGTATGTGGCATTCATAGATTTGAAGGCAGCCTTTGATACAATTGATAGAAAAATTTTATGGGATAAATTAGAGGCTATGGGAATAGAAAAGAAATTGTTATATTTAATTCGACTGTTATACACGGAAACCCAAGTAAGAGTTCGAGTGAATAGGTCAGGATTGGTAACAAATGCAATCCCATTAAAAAAGGGCGTCAGACAAGGTTGTACTTTAGCCCCAACACTTTTTAATTTATATTTAAATGACCTCCCAAAATGTCTGGAAGATACATCACTCCATGGGCCTAGTATAGGAACAAGACAGGTCAATTGCTTGTTATATGCCAATTATATAATTTTGTTGTCAGCCTCACAGGTGGGGCTACGAAGGTCACTTGGGAGGTTGGCAGCATATTGTATAAAAAATCGCCTGACAATTAATATAGAGAAATCAAAGGTAATGATATTTAGCAGGCAACAAAATATAAGGAGATGGGTTCTAAGTGACAGAAGAATAGAACAAGTTCAGTCATTTACCTATTTAGGGCTAGTATTTCAGACAAATGGCAAATGGAATAAGCAGGTAAAAGCCGGAGCTCGGAAGGCCATGGCTCGGATGGCTCAATTAAACAAACTTATTTTAGAGAAAACTCCATCTTCATTAATCTCAGTGCTAAAGGTCTTCCAGGCGAAAATCGAACCAGTACTTACCTATGGGGCAGAAATATGGGGGTCAGTTAAGCTGCCTGGGCTGGAAATCCCTCAAAATAAGTTCCTGAGGAGAATTTTGTTAGTGTCCCCCGGAACCCCAGCATGTGTAGTAAGGGCACAAACAGGAGTCCATGCGACTGACACTAGGGCCTTGTTGAAGACTGTTTATTATTGGTTGAGAATAATCGAGATGGAGGAAGGGAGATTACCAAAATTAGCACTGATGGAGCAGATTATCTCAAGTAATAAAAATAACTGGTTATCAAGAGTTCTGAAGCAGGTGTCTAGCTCTGGTATCCCTTTAAATTGGCAGCAGTATGACTATAGGCAGATCCAAAATTGGATTGCACAGAGACTTAAGGACATAAGTGCCCAATCAGATATTGCACAGGTGACAGCAGTAAAAGTTTGCCCCTGGTTATCAGCCAATAAACAAATTTTCAAAATAGAAAAATATTTAGCTGTGCCTTTGTTTCCCGTCCTGAGAAGATTCTTTACAAAATTGAGGTTGGACCAACTTGGAACAAATATGCTCTGGGGTAGATATAAAGGTATTCCTGTAAGGGAAAGGGTCTGTCTATGTGGGACGGGGGAAGTCGAAACAACGTCCCACGTAATTTTTGATTGCCCCCTATATTCAGACCTGAGGGAACATCAACTGGGCAGGATCTTTTATACCAGCACCCCTAAGTCTAAAGAGCACTTTTTGCGATATTGTTTGTTAGGTTCCAACTTGCAGTTGGTAAAATGGATTGCTAAATTTGTGGTAAAGTTGATGGGAAGGAGGACAAAGTTGGTGCAGCAAAATGCGGTAGATTGTAAGAATGATCACTTGATCTAACAATGTAATTTTAATAGCAGTTAACACTGATTGGGTAGATGCAGGGGCAACATTATAATATAATTTTAATTATATTTAAATGGTATTTTAAATTATTGTATTTTATCCCGATTTTATTTTAGATCGTATTTTATTCTAATTGTGTTTTAATTGCGAGTTATTCCAATCTTACTTAATTTGTTTTACCAAACCTTTGTAATGATTTGTCTTTGTAATTCTGCACTTGATATGGCCCAAAGGGCTAATCAATAAATAAAAATTACAATTGCGTGGGGGGGGCGAGAGAGGGCTTTGGCGACCCCTGTGAAATGGCCGTTCGACCCCCAAAGGGGTCGTGACCCCCAGGTTGAGAACCACTGCCTTAGACCCATGGGGATGAGAATCCTCACCCAACTCCATCAGGTCATTAGATGAGCCTTAGCTGCCATCTTAATGCTTTGAGTCTACCTCTCTTTAGAACAGTTGCCTGCAGTGCACTGAATTGAAACCTCAGTCCACAGTAGGTCAGTCTATCGAAAATACTGAAAGCTGTTTATCCAGTAGCCTTTCACCACAGTACGTAATGGGGGAAGTCACAAGGACTCTCTAGTCTATGGCACTCCCAGGTGGCACTCCCAAGTTCCTGGGCCAGACTCTGCTGGCCGCTGCAGCAGCAACCCAGCCTTCAGCAGGTGAAAGAGAAAATTGCTGGCTGGAACTGGTCAGCCTCCTGTCTGATCCAGTATTGAGGCTGGGGCTTCAAAGCTCTTGAGCAGACTCGGACCAGTGGCCGTCACACTCCTAAATTTGAAGTCAAGCCCCTGAGGCCTCATTGCAGTCAATTGGAGATCATCATCTCCCTAAATCTGAGCCATGCCCGAGGGCTGAAACCAGACCCTTCTACCAGCCATTCCCAGATCTTAAACCCCCAAAATCAATAAGAGTTGCAACATTGTAATTTGGAACAAAATGACCACCGCTGCTGCTCCCAGTGGCTCTGACAGCTGTTTTGTGCCTAAATGCGCTCCGTGCCAAAGCCGCAGTGAATCTGGGCCTTCTTGCACACCCCGGTGTTGTCACAGCCGCCAAATGGTGGCGCCACTTGCCACCGCGCCACTACTTAGCTGCTCCGCGGTCGCCAGGGGTGTATAGGAACGATCTTCCACCTTTCCGGGGTTCCGGCTGGATCCTTTGTCCAGTTGCAAGTGCTCCCTGTCACGGAACCTCCAAAATGGTGGTTCCCCACAGCAGCCGCCAATGGTCTGCCCGGCCTGCCAGCTGCTTTGTGCCGATCCCCAGTGTGGAAGAGTGCTGCAACTGTCTGGAGCCTAAAGCTATCTGTTTTTATATTGTCTGAAACTCTCCAATAATACTTAAACCCTTATCAACTCCAATTAACCATGCAGGTCAGTTCATACAGGTCATTGAAACCCTGTCTGAATTGCTCAAGATTGAGTTGAAACTGGGAGGAGCACCAGAGGGGGTGTCCCTTCAAATTACAACCCAGTCTGTAGAGCTAGAAGACAGAGTGAATCCCATGGCTGGAGTCTCAAGTCCCCTATCAGGAAAACCTGATCCCCTGTTTAAAAGGAAAAACTGGAACCATTTATTTACTTAAATTTTATTCTTGGGAAAGAATATTGTCACAATATGATAATATGCCCATATCCTACTGTGCTCCATCAACATTCCAACTGAATTAGGGCATCTCCCAGCATAAGAGCCAAATGCTTCTGAAAACTTTATTCCTAAAAAATAACTTATTCACAAAAATAGAAAACTACCAAATAACCTGGGAATCAGTTAAGGGTAAATGATGACTGATATTTTATTCTTTCAATGTTTTACTCTTTCAACATTTCTAGCCAGGAAGGAAAATTTGTTTTGTTTATGCATCCTGATTTCCTAAAATTGTTCATGATTGCTGGTTGCCATCCTTCCTTCCCTCCCCCTCTTTCCTTCCCAAAGATTTGACTTTCTAAACAAAACCATTCTATTTCTGAAATGATAGAACAAAACCAAGTCAGACACCATGTGGAAAGCCTTGCTTGAGACATGCATCTTCATAAAACAAAACCAAAAGGACTATCATGCTAACCATCTTTTCTTTGAGTGAGGAAAATTAAATTTTGGAAAGAAAATCGGCTTTCTTAAAACATTTCAGAGAGAGAAGCAGCCAGGTCGGGCCAGTGTCTCGGGAGAGTATGTGGAGCATCTCCCCGAGCGCCCAAGGCACAGCCAGCACCAAGGGCTGCAAGAAGCAGATGCAAGATCAAGCAATATCTTGCGGCCACAGAGCTTCTTGCGGTTGGTGCTGGACGAGCCTCGGTCACTTGGGGAGACGTTCCATGTGCTCTCCGGGTCGGCGGCTGCTTTTATAAGGTCCAGCCTCTCCTCCTCGTTCGAAAAAGTAAAAACTCTTGAAGCTTTAGCATTTTAAAAGGAACCTTTTATTGAACAGGAGTGATAGCAAGATTAAAGGAAAAGCAGACTCCGAGTTTCCGTCAGGCAATACAGTTAGGATAAAGGAATTAGAAACCCCTCCCTTCAGTCCAATGTGTATTCAGCCAATCAGCAGGTGTGGAGATATTATCGTAACGGCCAGCCTGAGAACGTATAAGTGAACGTTTTTCAGAGTCATCTTCCGCCGGCTTTCAGAGTGATACAATCCACATGGCCCTCCCTTCCCCTCCTTTCCCCTAAAGGTGAGAAAATCTCAAGATGCCTATCCACCAGGATAAAGGTTATAAAGTGAAAGGTTACATGTTATGAAAGAGTGAGGAAGAAAGCAATAAACTAAGTAATACATCTATGGTGCCCCCTTCTCCCAGAAGAATGGCAGCATCATGATAAGGATCTGACATGCTGTCCTCCTTAGAAAAAAGGAAAATCCACCTGTAAAGAGAGAAGGAAAATGATTACAGTAAGTTGACATGGTTTGTTGGGATATTGAAGGTGGAATTTCCTTAAAAATATAGGGGCTTTAACATGTTTCTTGGCTACCCATTCATTTTGGGATGGTAGTAAATGCTTCCACACAACCAGATACTGCGTGAAGCCATGGTGAGTGTGGGAGTCAAGTATCTCTTTAATCTCAAAATGTTATTCTCCCTCCACCATAATGGGAACAGGAGGTGTGGGTGCAGGGTGGTCTGAGAGAAGAGGTAACTTCTGGTTTGAGTAGGCTGCAGTGAAACACTGGGTGGACTTGTCTAAGTGTTTTGGGAAGGAGTAGTTCTACAGTCACTGTGTTGATAACCCTGGTAATGGGGAAAGGCCCTATGAATTTTGGTCCCAATTTCTTTGAGATTTGTAGTGATTGTAATAATTTAGTAGATAAGTAAACTCTATCCCCTATGTGGAATGGTTTTGTTTCCACTCTTTTCTTGTCAGCTTGTGCTTTGAATGCAGCTCTGGCTTCTTTCAGGGTTAGTTTTACCACTGGCCATGTGGTTTGTAGGTTTTTCATCCACTCCACTTAAGGAAGGGGATGGCAGGTTCTTCTGTGAGTAGTTCAGGCATTGGAGTGAAATCTTGGCCTGTTGCTACTCGAAATAGGGTGAAACCTGTGCTGGAGTGTACTGAGTTGTTGTATACCAGCAAAAGGTAACACGTCAGTCCAATTGTCCTGTTGGTAATTAATAAAACATCTTAAAGTATTGTTCTAGAACGCCATTGGCTTGTTCCACCACCACCCCCCATTAGTCTATGGGTGGTGGGAGGAGCTTAAGCTTTGGGTGGTTCCTAGTCGGCTCAGGAACGCCCTCCAAAATTTTGAAGTAAATTGGATCCCCTGATCAGAAATAATCCTTTATGGGGCTCCATGGAGATGGTAAATGTGGATTAGGAACATCTTTGCCAGTGTCTTGGCTGTTGGGATTTTTGGGCAGGGGATAAAATGGGCCTATTTGGAGAACAGGTCAGTTACTACCCAAATGACAGTATTCCCTGCACTTTTTGGCAGTTCAACAATGAAATCCATGGAGATCTCTCTCCAGGTTGCTGAAGGCTCGGGAACATTTTGTAAGAGTCCAGGGGATTTCCCTTGTCATCTTTTCGCTGCTGCGCAGGCAGGGCAACTGGCTATGTAGCTTTCTATATCTTTCTTGAGGGATGGCCACCAGAATTGCCTTTTGATGAGGTGTAGGGTCTTTACAAATCCAAAGTGCCCAGCTAGTTTGGAATCATGACAGATTGCCATAAGGTGTAGTCTTCGACTGGCAGGGACATATAGTTTTCCTCCCACCCAGGCTAAGTCATCTTTCAGCAGGCAGGTACTTTTGTGTATCTGCAATCATTCATCCTTGATCATGGCTTGCTTAAAAGCCTGGGTGATGGCATTGTCTGTAGGCAGTTCCTGTTTGGATTGTGTCCTGGTGATTACTTTGGCTGCTAGTTGGGGGCTTTGGAGCAAAGGCTTAATTATTTCGGCTCTTGTGCTATTCCATTGAGGTTTTCTCGATAGCGCATCTGCCAAAAGGTTTTTCCCTCCCAGAAAATATTTGAGGGTGAAATCAAAGCGTTTGATATATTCAGCCCATTGTACCTGCTTGGGGGAAAGTTTCCACGGAGTCTTAAGGGCCTCCAAGTTTTTATGATCAGTCCAAACTTCGAAGGGGATTTTATTTCCCTCTAGGAAGTGTCTCCAAGTCAGGAGTGTCCAGCGCACCACATATGCTTCTTTTTCCCAGATGGCCCACCTCTCTTCAGTATCAGTTAATTTTTTGGAAGTATAAGCATATGGTTGTAGGTAGTCTTGCTTGTTTTTTTGAAGCAAGACGGCTCCTACTGCTACGTCACTGGCATCTGCCTGTACGATAAATGGCTTTTTTGGGTCTGGCTGTTTTAAGACTGGTTCCGCAGAGAATAGTCATTTGAGTTTTTCTATTGCTGCTTGGCATTCCATTGTCCAGTTTAATGGTTGTTTGGTTTTGGCTTGTCCTCCCCCTTGGTTTTTAATAGGTTGGTTATGGGGAAGGCAATTTGTGCAAATGCCGGAATGAATTGATGGAAGAAAATTGCAAACCCCAGGAAACTTTGTAATTGTTTGCATGTGCGGGTTGGTGCCCAATCAATCACGGCTTGCACTTTTTGTGGATCCATTTCTATGCCCTTGTGGGAGATTCGATACCCTAGGTCAGTGATGGCTAGCCTTTTTGCCATCGCGTGCCAGGAGAGGGGTGGGTGGGGGAGGGTTGCGCGTGCACGTGCCCACGCGCATGTGTGCGCACCGCCTCCCCCTCCCCCCCCCCGCTCCTGGCACATGATGGCCTGGTAGGCCCGTTTTTCTTTCTTACCTGGTTCCAGATCCTCTCTGTGTATCTGGGAACGGCGAAAACAGCCTTTCCCACTCCCTTGGAGGCCCTACGGAGGCCGAAAAAGCCCATTTCCCAACTCCCGGTGGGACAGGAAGTGACATTTTTTGCTGTCCCCAGCCTCCAGAACCTCTCTAGGAGCCTCTCTAGGAGTCTCTAGGAGCCTCTCTAGGAGTCTCTGGAGGCTGGGGACAGGAAAAAACGTCACTTCCTGTCCCACCAGGAATGGGGAAATGGGCCCTTTGAGCCTCCGTAGGGCCTCCAAGGAAGTGGGAAAGGCTGTTTTCACCGTTCCCAGATACACAGAGAGGATCTGGAGCCAGGTAAGAAAAAAAAACGGGCCTTCCCCACCCTCCCCCCAGGCCCTCCAGAGGCAGGAAACAGCCTGTTTCCCTACTTCTGGTGGGCCCAGAAGGCCCAAAAATCAGCTGGCCAGTGCACACATGCGCCCCAGAGCTGAGCTGGCGTGCCCACTAATATGACTCCGCATGCCACCTGTGGCACGCGTGCCATAGATTCGCCATCACGGCCCTAGGTAGTCTATTTTTTCTTGGTGGAATTCACATTTGGAGAGTTTGGCATAGAGCTTCGCTGAGTGGAGTTTGTTTTGGACCTCTCGGACCACTTTTATGTGCTCCGCTTTGGTTTCAGTGTATATTAAAATGTCATGTAAGTAAACCAGGACCCCTTTGTACCTCATTTATTAGTTGTATAAAGATGGCAGGGGCACCTTGTAGTCCAAATGGGAGTACCTTGAATTGATAGCAACCCAGGCATGCATTAAATGCGGTTTTCCATTCGTCCCCTTCCCTTATTCTGATCTGTAATAAACCTCCCTTAAGTCCAGTTTTGAGAACATTTTTCCCTTAGAGAGATGGGCTAGCATATCTTTCATAAGGGAGAGGGGGTACACATTTTCTACACTCACAGTGTTGAGATTTCTATAGTCCACACAAAGACGTAGAATGCCATCTTTTTTCTCATAAAATAGTACCGGGGCAGCGATTTTTGGTCGGGTAGGCTCGATGAATCCTCTTGCTAGGTTTTTATCAGTGAAAGCTCTCAGCTCCTCTAGTTCCCGGGAGGGACATGCTATACATTTTCGGTTTCAGAAATTTAGCCTTTGGTAAAATTTCGATAGCACAATCTGTGGAGGGGGGGTGGGAGTTCATCGGAGCCTTCTTCACTGAAAACCTTGGCTAAGTCTCTGTGCTCTCTAGGTATGCCCTGGGTTGGCTCAGTCCAGCCAGGCATTGCTGTTTCTTTGTTTGCACCTCCCTCAGTTTTTTCATTAGGTCATCAGTGAAAGTTATGTGCCCTTGAAATCTTGTGGTCCCTTGTTTCCAATTTACTTTGGGGTTCCATTTTCTCAATCATGTGAGCCCTAGGACTAGCAGCCACTCCATTCTGGGTGCCACTATAAACGTGAGTGTTTCATCATGGTTCCTCAAGTTTATTTGTAGGGGTTCTATGGCAAAGATGGCTGGCTTCCCCCCCCCCACCCGCTACTGATCCATCTAACTGGCAGAATGTGATGGGTTTTTTTAGCTTCCATAGGTGAATCCCCAGCTCTCCCATCAAGGTTGGGCTAATTAAGCATTGGGTGCACCCCAAGTCCAGTAATGCTGAGATTTTTACTTTTTTTTTCTCAACTGGGGATAAAAAGCCTTAGGGGCAGGGTGAGTGGTTCAATAGGGTCACTTACTAGCTGATCGCCTTCCGGGTCACTTTCAGACAAACTTGGGTTTTCACGTTGGGGTGCCGGAGTTCCTTCCCCTGGGGTTGTAGGGGCGTGAAACTCTAAAGCCTTTCTGCTTCTTAAAGCGATTTCCTTCCTTGGGGGGTTGATTTTGTGGGCTTTCTTCCTGACAAGTGCTCTGGTGGGTGTCATTCGAAAACTTCGTGGGAGTTTTCGAATGACACTGCTATGCGATGCCCCTCCTTTCCGCACTTGAAGCTGGCTGGCTTCAGCGCTAGGACAGTTTGCGGCTTGAAGGGTTCCCAGTTCCCCTGAGGTGGGAATCTTATCCAAACTCTTCCGGCTCAGTACTGGTTTCTGGTCATGTTGATCTCTGCCTCTTACGCTATGAGGTACCACTCATGCAAACGGTTAGGGGCACCCCGAGCCAGGCAGGCATTGTAGAGGTCATATTCAGGCCATCTTTAAGCCAGCTCACCAGAATATCTTCTGGCCAATCCACGCGCTGTCAGAGTTCCAAGTAACACCCCCAACAAAATCAAACTTCGAGGCTTGAGGTTCCTCAAAGCTAATTTTTATTAGAGATGTCATATTGGCACATCTGGGAAAACCCAAATCTGAGAGCTTCTGGGTTTTCCTCACCCAAAAGAAAATTCAAGTCCTTGCCCATCACCCACATGTTCATCACACGAACCAATCAGACACCTCATACTTCTCAGCATAGCTCCAGGGCACAACGGCCTTGACTTTCTAGAAAGAATGTTTTGACTACATATCATCTTCACTCTATACAATCCCCCCTCCCACAGTAGAAATTGTGGCATGCCTGAAGGTTCAAAGGTAAAAGATGGCTTCCAGATCTGACAGGCAGCAGGCAAGGT